CAATGGAAGCAGATCTAACAACATTAAGTGTATACACCCCCTATTGAGATTCCAAACTCAACGGGTTAGCTACTATCTCTGGCAACTGGAATGAGTTTCCCAAGTTGCCCACAAATCATAGGTATCCAAACGACAATCCGGAGCTTTAAACCCACTACCGGATCAGTTCACACATAAGTCCCCACACTGTCCACTTTACCAGCTCAATCATCTCATTCCATCAAATCCAACATCTCAACAAGTGTCAATACACACGGAATCTAGAGATGCAACAAAGCATAGATTCCACACGAAGTGTGTACAACAACGGATAAGCTCAACAATAGCTTAGTCAAGGAACAATCAATAAAGTACCACATTGTACAAGATCACATCAAGGGACTCACTCGAGATGTTTCAATGAAAGACATGAAACGATACTCAACAACAACAATGAACTTCAATCCAATCTTAACATGAATGGTAACACAAGTTGCCAATCCACAAAAGGAATGGACAAACAACAGATACTAGCATCAAGGACATCATATCTAGCATGCTCATCAAACGGGTAAACCAAAATGGTTCCCACGAACCTCAAAGACTCACATTAATCCAATGAATCACAAGGTTGGACCATAAGCACGATTTAAGGCACCAAATCCTAACACGGATACTTAAGACATTGGTCTAGACATACGAAACATCAAGGAGACACACAAAAGCTCAACAATCCAACAAAGGGAGGCCAAAACATTACATACCAAAGGATGGAACCACGGGGAAAACAAACTCCCGCCATAATCCACCAGTATACCCCGCGGGTAGGTCCCTACCCGCGGCTCTGCCAGCCGGGTACACACCTTCCACCCGCGGGTGGGGCGGCGGGTGGACAAGTGCTCGCCGATCCGCCCGCGGGGAACACGCTGAACAACAATAATTCCCTTCGGGGAAATTCATCTCCAAGGTCAAGTTCAAGTCCAAAACACCCCAAACCTCACATACAACAAGGAAATGACTTGAACCCAAGAATAGATCAAAAGATAGCATTCAAGAAACCTAGATACAAGCTCTAAACATGCATTATCACAAGATCATGCATCAAATCACTCACAACATCAAGAATCATCAATATAAGTCATCATCAATAACAAGTAGAAAATAGGTTTTGTATAGCATGGGTTACCTTTGTAGACCAAAAGACTTCTTTCTATACCCTCCTAAGCTTCTCCTTGAAGCTCCTCTTCAACCAAATCTTCTTACACTAATCTTAGATAAAGGCTAGGTAAAGCTAATTAAAAACACTAACCCTAGATCTTACCCTTCCTTAAGCTCGAGAGATGGAAAGGTAGAATCTTGGGAGGTTTCTTTGCAAGGATGGAGATGGTTCTTCTTAGCTTGGAGATTAAGCTAGGTTTTCTTTTTAGAGAGAAGGTAGAGCAATTGTAGAGAGAAGATGGAGAGAATGATCTTTCTTGTCTAGTGTGGGAAGACAAGCGGTGGAGGGTTAAGGGAAATATCTTGGGTAGCAAGATAGGTTGTGAAATGTATAGAATAACCTTCCCTATTTTCAAAATTGTTAGGAAGAACCCAAGGGCTAGGTACAATGCATAAGGCACCAGGTACCACTTGTTGACCAAGTCAATTGACTAAAGAGTCTAGTCAATTTAGGTCATCCGACTATTGATTAAGAAATTTGCAAGGCAAGAAGGAATAAATTAAGAAATTAATTCGGGTTTAAGGAACAAATTTCCGGGGTGTCACATAATGGAATTATAATAATTGTAATTAAAAGAACCTACAATTAGGGGTGGGAATTTCGATTTATAGCTCAGGTTTTTTTTTTCTCGGTTTGATTTATATTTTTTCAGTTTTGAAAATACGAAACCATTCTATTTAACATTGTAGTTTAGTTTTGTTCGGTTCAATTTGAGAACATAAACATTCTCTAGTTCTTTAGCGCAATTAATTAGTTGTATATTTTTTACTAATTTAAAATTTAAAATCTAATCAACACGTTAACAATGCATATTTCAAATTTCTCAATCAATAATGAGTCCAAACAACAAGACAATGCTACATATTTAAAAATCCAATGTCCAAACATAACATAAAAATTAATTCAAATTACCAGATAGCAATCTAAGCATCTAATATAAAAAAAATTAGGGATTTAGAGAATTGAGAATTTAGTAATTAGTAATTAGTATATATACTTGGGTAATTTTGCAAATATATAAACATTTTGGTATAATTATATACATAGATATCAAGAAAGGAAATGGCATAGTTATTTATGCTTACATTATACTTTATAATAATTATAGAGGTGTTGTTAAGATGATTGGCTTTAGCTTGGGGCAACAATTGAATCATGCACAAGAGATGTTTGGTGTAGTGTAATGAAATCAGTTTGTTTCTCATGAACGTAATAACCGTGGCTATGTTTTAACTCTTAATTAGAGTTTGGAGACGCAATACTGACTATGCGAAGCAATATGTTGAACATAATAACGTATGGATATAAAAAACTACAAGTTTGTTTATTAAGAATGTAAATTTTTTATTAGATGTGAGGATAGCTTAGTTGGGAGAGTGTCAAACTGAAGATCTAAAGGTCACATGTTCGATCATGTTCGTCGCAACTTGGCTTTGATAGTTTTTAAATGTAAACCATACATTTATAAGTTAACAATTTTCAATAGATGAGCTACATAAGTGTTCCATTGTTGTCTAGCGGTTAGGATATCTAACTTTCACTTAGGAAACCTGGGTTTAATTCTTGGCAATGAAAGATTTTGCATCTTTCAATTTAGAGAAGATTTATATTGCACAGTTTGGTTTAATTTGTTATATACCATGTTGCCAATTTCATGGAGAAGATCTCATCGAAATAAATTTCCATTTCGCATGTCACTACAAGAAAAATGCACATAGACAACGGTTATTAACCGTTGTCGTAGGGGTATAGTTTCTGTTGTTGAAGCCGGTGTTGTTGTAAGTCCCGCGCATAGACAACGGTTTTTTAACCGTTGTCTTTTCTAGAAACAACAACGGTTTTTTAACCGTTGTCTATTAAGTGTTGTTGAAGCCGGTGTTGTTGTAAGTCACGCACATAGACAACGGTTAATAACCGTTGTCTTTTCTAGAAACGACAACGGTTTTTTAACCGTTGTCTATTAAGTGTTGTTGAAACCGGTGTTGTTAAAAGTCATGCAATAGACAACGGTTATTAACCGTTGTCTTTTCTACCAACGACAACGGTTTTTTAACCGTTGTCTATTAAGTGTTGTTGAAATCGGTGTTGTTAAAAGTCACGCAATAGACAACGGTTATTAACCGTTGTCTTTTCTACCAACGACAACGGTTTTTTAACCGTTGTCTATTAAGTGTTGTTGAAACCGGTGTTGTTAAAAGTCACGCAATAGACAACGGTTATTAACCGTTGTCTTTTCTACCAACGACAACGGTTTTTTAACCGTTGTCTATTAAGTGTTGTTGAAACCGGTGTTGTTAAAAGTCACGCAATAGACAACGGTTAATAACCGTTGTCTTTTCTACCAACGACAACGGTTTTTTAACCGTTGTCTATTAAGCGTTGTTAAAACCAGTGTTGTTAAAAGTCACGTACATAGACAACGGTTTTTAACTGTTGTCTTTTCTTTAAAAGACAACAGTTATAAACCGTTGTCTATTGTGTGTTGTTGAAATCGCTTTTGTCACACCCATAAACTGTTGTCTTTTGTAGAAAAGTCAACGGTTTATAATTGTTGTCTATTGTAAAATAGACAACGGTTTTTAACCGTTTTTCACCTGCTTAAATTATAATCGTATAAAAAAAAAACAATTTATCCATTCACCATATGTTGCAAAGTGTAGTTACATAATTGTGCACAAGCTAATAAGGTTCAAAATAACAAGTCAAAAGACTTCCATGACCAATTCTAATTATCATCCAAGTCATAATACTACTACACAAAAAAACAATTCCCCGAACCAATTCAAGTCCAAATGATCACAACGTTCGAATGACCAAATCATACCTACTCTATGTGACTTGATAGAATATCGGCCCATTCAGATCGCACCAGATCAATAACCGCTTTGTCATAATCAACTTGTTGAAACTACATGTAAAAAGTAAGAAAATAAATTAGTATAGATATAAATAATTTGCAATGAAATGAAACTGCCCTCTTACTCTCACCACATTCATACTCAAGGTGTTCATAACAAGATAATGAGTTCCCTAAAGAGAATCATAACAAGTGTAGCCAACAAGTAAAGAAAGACACTTGAAAAAAGCAATACAAATGCACTCCCAAGGGAAAGAATGGAAAGAATCACGTGAAGATTGCCACCTTACACTTGTGCAATACTCCTCGACTGTCTAGTCTCACTTGAGAAAACTAAAGAGAGATGTTCCGGCAATCCAAGGTGGTTCTTACCATTGGGGTATCAAACACAACTACCAAGAAAGTTTCTCATACTAATTCTAACAATACTACAAGTCAGTTCATTAAGTAACATAGATGATGAGCCTTAAACTAAATACAAGAAAAATTGATCAACATCATACAATGACAAGATCAAAGCAATTCCCATCTGAGGCAAAACTTGAGAAAATTTTAGGGGAAAAAAAATTAGTTTTTTTGCTTAGTTGCCAAATATTATAATGAAGCAAATTGGAGATTTCCCACAGAAAAGGTTTATAAATATATACTAATTAACAAATAGCCATAAAAAAAGAATAACTACCCATTAGAGCTTTTAATCCTTACTAAAACTCTACACACAGTTCACTTGAAACACAGAGCTAAACAAATTACCTATTAAGAATAGTACCAAAAAAATTACACAAATATGTGATAATATATACATGTATATGCATATAATAAATGCAATATTAAATGAATGTGTAATGCTTTAAAAGATTTATTCTAACCCAATACGTTCCTAAGAGTATATTCCAAATAGATGACAATCAGAAGTCACCACTGATAACAATTACAAGAGGATCACCTTGGTAAGTTTGATAAGACATTTCACAACCAACGGAGAACTTTTGATTTCTAACAGCTAGGGACTCATTTGCTGTTGGAGATGGCTACCTTGATGGGTCCAAAGGCCGTAAAAGATTGATGAGCACAACGAATGATGTTGTTCGATCAGCATTATAGAACATGCAGAATATGACCAACCAATTATAGTTAAGACACAAGAATAAAATCACTAAATTTCCAAAAGCAGACTCACCAAAATCTTAAGCATCAGAACATTCAAGGCTTTCAGAAGCTGACTACCATCATCCATTCGTGGAACCCTTTCATCTAGAAGCCAGAGCAAAAGCTCAGTAATAAGTATAGGAACAGTGCTCTCCTTGGCAGCATGAGCAAGATTTTTACTTTGAAAAGTCTGCATGAAGATATCAAAGGAAAACAGTTTAGATACACAGATTATTCCAAAACAAAAATCTGTCCCACCCAGTTCGTGCCTTCCGAACCTAAAGTATTTCTATAAAGTCAAGAGAAGGTTAGTGAATGGTAAAAGGAAATTGCCTGCATAAGTGTATTGAGAACATATTTGCAAGATCTTGATGGTATTGAGAACATATTTGCAAACTAAACTCAAAAGTCTTGGCTACCTGCAGCAGATATCAAACCAGAAGCAACATGAAACCAATGACAGAATAGGAAAAGTAGTAAGGTAAAGCTGCATTAAAGAATTTCTTGCCTTATTCCCTTAAAAAAAAATCAGAGAAATAGGAAGGTAAAATATTTGAAAACACCTGAGGTGGTGGGATGAAGGGACAGAAGTGAATGTCTCCTTAATGCTAACGAACTAAATCTTCAATGGCGTAAACAATATAATAACACTGGTAGAGGGATTTAAAACAATGCAACACCACACTCAACACTCAAAATTAACAATAACACATAAAAATTTACTTATTTAATTAAACATTTAACAAAATATTAACAGAGAAAAAAAAATTAAATACCTGGCTGAGGGGTTGCACCGCCGGTTGAGGAGTGAGGACCGTGAGTCGGTGAGAGGACTGATTTGAGGAGTGAAGGCCGGAAGGCGGAAGCCCAGAAGGCGTTGGAGGACGGACTATGGAGAAACCGGAGGGCGTGAGGGAGTGACCGGAGTTCGCCGACTCGCCGAGGGTGGAATCCAGTCGTCCAGAGAGGCGCGCGGTTGGCAGTGGACGGTGGAGCCGCGATGGACGGAGGATGGACGGATGGAGGACGGAGGGCTTGGCTGTGTTCAGACGGACGAAGGTGGAGGGGATTTTCAGAATTGGGGAATTTTGGGGGATTTGGGGAATTTTATGTACAAGACTTAAAGACGGCGCCAAGCCGCCAAATACAAAATTTTGGTGAAAATTAGATTGTAATAAAATAATTTTCAAATAACAATAGCGAGAGTAACAATAGCTTTTGTACTAATAGCGAGAGTAAATTTTTAAAATAATTATAAAATGTAAATTTCGTCACTAACTCATAAATTTTTAAGTAGAGTAATTTTTAACCCTTACAAAAGCTAGGCAAATAATACATTTAGTGATGGATATTTTTACCCGTCACTAATTTTTTGTCACTAAAAATTGTTTTTCTTGTAGTGGTTGGAGGCGGTGAGAGCACTGGGAACGACGGTGTTAGTCGGTGTTATTGTCGAAGGAGAAAATTTGCAATGGAGAGAAATTCGACGGTCGAATTGTTGAAGGCAAATGTTGCAAAGAGGGAAAAATTCGCACTAAGTTAAAACTTGCAAAGAGGGAAAGAATTGAATGAATTGTTTTTATTTTGCAAAGAGGGAAATAACATAACATATACAATATACTATATACTATGTATTAATATACTCCGTAATAAGGAAAATAACGAAATTTTATTTTAATTTTATAATAAGCCTTCATTTTTTCTAAATTAAATAAGTATATTCATGGTTATCAAATTATGAACATATAGTTCTGTGATCTGTGAATACAGAGTTCAACAATTGGAAATATGAACATCGAAAATTATGAACATAGAGTTCTGTAATTGTGAATATATAGAGTTCATTCATTATGAATATGAATTTCAAAAAAATTATGAATATATAGTTCGGTAATTATGAACATAGAACATTGTGCACCATGCATGGTGCACACGGTTACACAACATAATTTGCCCTTTATTACCCAGAGATTTATTACCCAGACAGCTGGCGGCCCAATTATTACAAAGATCACGGCAAAAGAAATGAGTTATAGCTAACTGTACGACATCAACTACTCTTTCATATGGCAAATTATTGCATGGACCATGGTCCACACAATTGTGTAGACCATGAATATCAGGTACATTTTTAATATATTAAAAGTACATTATTTTTGTACTAAAGGTACATTATTTTTGTACTGAAGGTACATTATGTAAAATAATGTACCCTTAGTATATTAAAAATATACTTTCAAAAAATGTACCTTACGTACATAAATAATGTACCCTTAGTATATTAAAAATGTACTTTTTATTTATGGTCCACACAATTGTGTGGACCATGGTCCATGCAATAATGATTGCTTTCATATCCATTCTCCACCTGTCCCATGCATGTCGGAAGGGTCGATTACCAACATGATAATTATTATTATTATTTGAATTTATAGATTGGTCTTAATTGTAATTGAAAATAAAATTTTAATAAATTGACAATGAAATTTTGGTGAATAATTTTATATTTAAATATGAACGAAAATAGAACTATTAAATTAACTTTTGAATTGTATTCTTTCTTTGTTAAATTTTTATGCATTATATTTGGACAAAAAAAAATTAATTACATTTTTATTTTTGTTCTAGATCTTGTAAACATCTATTGTCATCTCGTAACAAAAACAATGAAGGTCCAAATTATAGGTAAAAGATAATGTGTAACACTTTAGTAAACAAGAGTTGGTGTGACTTTGTGGGTTTAGCCTAAATACATAAGTGTTAGTGTGGCTTGGTGGGTTTAGCTTGGTTCTACTTTATACAATCATTGTCTTGGTTCTCAGGGACAACATAGAACCAAACTTGTTATATATTTGATGTTGCACTTAAATACACAAGTGTTGGTGTGGCTTGGTGGGTTTAGCTTAGTTTATTATGTTAGAAGTTTTGGGTTCCATTTTTCCTAGAGGCATCCTAACCTATTTTATAAAATCGTTGTCTTGGTTTTCATAGACAACCCAGTTATATACCAGATGTTGCACTTTGGTATATAAGAGTTTGTGTTGCTTAGTTGGTTAAATCTTATTTGTTATGTTTGAGGTTATAGGTTCAACTCTTGTTATTAACATCCTTGTTTTTATTTTATACAATTGTTGTCTTTTATAAAATAATGATGCGCAAAGACAACGATTTTTTATAACCGTTGTCTTTGTAGTGTTGTGTATTCAAATACGCTTAAAGACAACATACCAAAGACAACGTTAAATAAAACCGTTGTCTTAAACAAATAAAGAACACGCAACGACAACGGTTATATAAAACCGTTGTCATTGTAGTGTTGTGTATTCAAGTGCTATTAAAGACAACACATAAATGACAACGGTTAAATAAAACCGTTGTCTTTTATAAAATAATAATGCGCAAAGACAACGGTTTTAAAAAACCGTTGTCTTTGTAGTGTTGTGTATTCTAGTGCGCTTAAAGACAACACACAAACGACAACGGTTAAATAAAACCGTTGTCGTTTTTTAAAAAAAGAGCGCACAAAGACAACAGTTTTAAACAACCGTTGTCTTTTTAGTGTTGTGTATTCTAGTGTGCTTAAAGACAACACAGCAACGACAACGGTTAAAAAAACCGTTGTCTTTTTAAAAAAAAAAAACGCACATAGACAACGGTTTTAAAAAACCGTTGTCGTTGTGGTGTTGTCTTTTCACAATATGCACAAAGACAACACACTTATAACAACGGTTATATAAAAACCGTTGTCTTTGACAAAAATGTTGCATCAAAGACAACGGTTTTGGACCAAACTGTTGTCTTTTATACAAAAGACAACACTTTTCTTAATAACTGTTGTCTTTCTAGTGTTGTCTATGTGCACTTTTCTTGTAGTGTGTAAATGGTCTTTATTTAGTTTGAGTTCTTGTTGCTTGGCTTTCCTTATTTGCTCATTTGTTTAGCTTTTGCTACATTTATAGTTTTTCTTCCTTTGTTTTGTTGTGTAGAGTTTCCTTTTTAGACCTGGGTATGCCCCGTTTATTTGTATATTCTTTCAGATATTTATATAATTTACATTTATCCAAAAAAAAATGACTAAATCAGTCATTGAATCATCTACATAAAATATTTCGTGTAGCGTTAGGCTAATTATATCATTGATAAGTGCTAATTCTTAGTACTTTTATGTGCACAATTGATATCAAACTCATATGATTTCATGTTATTTGGAAGCTAAGTATGTGCCTATTTGATTCCTTTGTGTCATTTAGGTTATTTGGAGGCAATGGTTGTAACTTCATGTAAATTGGAGCTCAATTGGTTGTGTTTTGAAGTCATCTTGACAGAAAGGCAAGTTCCAGGAGTCATTAGAGGTCAAGAAAATGAAATAAAGCGAGTTGAAGTGTCATGACATGACCTGAGGACCCAAAGGAACTAATGAGATGAAGAAATATGCGTTTTTGAAGTGAAAAACATGGGTCACGTTGGTGGTCACGCCGTGATTGCCAGCGTGACACCATTATGCTTTGTACTTTTTTTTTCTGTCAGATGAAGTCTCGGTAATTTGAGCATATCTCAAGCTATGAGTGTCCAAATAGCGCGATTCAAGTGTCATTAGAAAGGAAACTCAGAGAGCTAGAACTTTCATGAAAACCACAAAAGCTAGTTCGGATGTTTAAAACGTGAAAAATGGTCTAGAAACCAGAGATACTGTGTAGAGATGCTGGTCACAGTGGCGGTCACGGTGTGACGTTGACCGTGACCAGAAGAGACCTACGAGGCTTAGGTCTAGTCACGATGAAGGTCGTGACCTCCATCGTGACCAGGCATTCTGGAAGCAGTTAAAAACACGCGATTCCAAAAGTATAAAGTATCTTTAGGCATTATTTTCATCCATCTTTCAATTTCCGATCTCCCTAAACACCTTCTCTCCATCCAAACCCTTTAGAACAAAAAATCCATTGTATTCCGTCATCTTTTGGAGAATATTTAGAGGGAGATTAACGTATGTAATTGCAACTTTCACTTTCAGTTTCAGATTTACATTCTACAAGTTCTATCAAGTTAAGTTCTCAATTTCTTACTTTTACATTTCACATAAGTTGTAGTTTGAATTTATTGTTCATTACTTTAATTGCTTTTAATTATTTCACTTGCTATTAATTTGTTAATTTCATTATGATTAGTTAAACTAGTTAGAGATTTAGATTGAATTGCTTTGTATTAATGTCAACATGAATTAAATTGGAAAACCTAGGGCTTGCAATATCTTTAGATTGAATTTGATTGTGAATTTGGTAAAATGTTTTAACTCTTGCAGTCTTGCTTGGTTAGGGCCCAACTTTGTAAGGGGATTTTGGATTTGGTGCTTCACCTATGAGAATAGGGATTCACCATAGCCAAACCTATCACAATTCTAACTCACTCTTGAGAAAGGGGAGTTGGAAGGGATAGAGCACAC